TCACCACCAGACCAGCACTACAGGAAAAGTTGAAGGATCTTCTTTAAGAAGAAGCTAATGAACAAAAGAATCTGATGAACTAAATAGATCCAGAGACAATGACGCATGCAACAGACAGTCATATTTCAGAGGAAAGAGGGAAGGGAAGTGGAGGGTGGGAAGAGATTAACCAAAGAAGTTATATGTATAACCCAAGGACACAGTTAATAACGGGATAAAGGCCTGGGAAGGGGGTGGGAGGGAAGTGGAGGGGATCAATTGGGGGGGAAATGGTATACCTGTAATACTCTCAACAATAAAGATAAATTTTAAAAGTAAAAAAAAAAAGACTATGGCAATTGTCTAGGCGAGTAACTGGTGGCTCAGATGATGTTGAGATAATGGGGTAGGTGATGAAAAGTGGTTGGATTAAGGTACATTCAAGGTAGAGTCATCATAACTTCCCAATGAATTTAATGTGGGGTGTGAGGGGTGATGTCTCAGTTTTTAACTGAGCAAAAGAGTTAAAGGGGGTGCCATCCACTGAGATGGAAATGACTTGAGAAAAGCTTGTTGGGGAACAGTCAGGGGCATGGGGAGGCAATTAAAAAATGTTTTATGTAAAAATGAAATCATAAACTCAGATTCTAGCGAAGTGCTAGCACATACAAGCCATTTGTTAAATACTTGAATGAATGTACTAATTAATTAATTTAATTGCATGGGTAAATGGAGAAAGGAAGAAAACTAATTCTAAATTTTACAAAATATGAAAAACATTTTGCAAATGATATGACCCTAAAGACCCCATGCTAAGATTCCGTAAGTGCTGAGTTCCAGTTTCAGAAAATATATCTACAGCTCAGATCCTCCTCCCAGCTTTTGTTCTGGAACCTCCTGCCTTTCCCTCCTCTGCAGGCAATGTGCTCACACCTTTATTCATCCCAGCCAGCAAGCCCAGGAGCCCGCACACCCCTGTGTGAAAACGCAGAGCTCGCAGCCCTGGAGCAGGGAACAGTCAAGCAGTGAGCTCCTCCAGCTTTCCACTCGCCAACCCTGTCTTCCCCAACCCAACGCACACCCTGGGCACCTCCACGGGCATGCGGAGCAGGGCCCTCAGCGGTCCAGACCAACCCCATACACTCGGTTCCCCAGACAGTCTCACTTTTTAAGGGCTCAGTGTGAAGCAAGCAGGAGGCCAGATTAGTTTGTTCCACGGACTGGCTGGACCTGCTTTGACTGACCCGCCAAGTGCTCTTACGGAGCCTCCAGGCTGGCTTCTACTGAGAGCCACAAAGGAAGGGGAGAGCAATTAGTGGGAATAAAATATTTAAAAGTCACCTTCACAGTTGAGCATGCACAGTGCAAAAGGAGGAAGGCCTGTGAAAATGCTGCAAAACAGCCTTCCCTCTAAGTTTTCACACCTAACCACTTTTGTACTGGCTCTCCCGCAGGACTGAGGGTACAGAGCGCGCCTACATCGGCCCCTGCTTCTTTTCTGGAAAAGATCACGTCTCCAACGCCAGTGGCCTCCTGGACGAGCTCCCCACAAAGCCCTGCAGCCCCCCATACGAGCGGCAAGCCCAGCAGCGCGGCGCTCCCGGTTACAGTGGCATTGGCGCAGACGGCTCTGCCCCCCAAGAATGTTTCCATAGAGCCCACAGGGCAGGAGGCCACTTTGACTTGGGAAGGCACAAACGCAGGTGCCTTGTCAACGAGCAGGGAGGGCCACTTAACACCCACGCCCGGGGAGCACAGCCCAGGCACGCCAGAGGCGAGTGTGCCAGCCACAGGGCCCAAGTCCCCCGCAGAGCCTCCTGCACTCACCTCCCCGCAGGCTCCAGCCTCACCACCCCCAGGCCTGTCCACCGCACCACCCCCAGGCCTACCAACCTCACCACCCCCAGGCCTGTCAACCTCAGCACCCCCAGGCCTACCGACCTCACCACCCCCAGCCCCGTCGACCGCACCACCAGAGGTTTCTTCTGTCTCTGACAACACCAACCACAACTCCACTGAGACCAGCACCAAGACCACAGGAGCCCCAGCCACACCAGAGTCCCCAGCACAGGAGCACAGCTCTGGCCGCACCCCCACTTCACATACCACGTGGGAGCTGGTGCCCATGGAGACAACGCCCCAAACAACCGTGCCAGCCAAAGCCACGTGTGTTCTGGTAGACAGGGAGACCACCACGGCCTCCCCCAGGGTCGTCATGCGGGAAGTGGAGCATGCTCTAAGCTCAGGTGAGTCTGTCCAGAACGCTGCGAGCACGCTCGGCTGCCCGGAGATGCTCGGAAAGCAGCTCGGTTAACCAAACGCAGTGGGTCAACTTGGAATTTCGGAGTGTACCATCTGAGCTGAAGTATAATTCCCAAGAATTTCCACAAGAGTGCCAACCTTATTTATGTCACTTAGTAACTGCCATGTGATAGCTCATTAATTGTGGCCGATTGCCAACTTTATGGTTTGTCTTTACGTACGTCACAGGGAATGTAAATAAGTGAGACTATGTAAGTAAAGGGATTAATAGCACAGCTCTCAGCCAAGCTGCCCAGGCTTCAATTCTGGCTCTAGACCTTGGGCAAGTTACTTCACATTCTGTGCCCTTACTCACCCTCAACTGTAAAATGGGAATAAAAGAGGCGCTACAGCATATGGCTCTTGTGGAGATTAAATGAGATGATATATAAAGTGCTTAGAACAGTTCCTAACAGGGGGTACGTGCTCAGGAGATGTCAGTTATTATAACTTTGCTCAGTGTAGTAACTGTTTATAGAAATCTGTCAAAAAAAAGTAGGGTGGAGTTGTGAAGAACTTGTTTATTCTTTATAGGCATTGATATATTTCATGGGAAACACAATAAATTTTAGAGGACGTCACATTTGTTTTTGTTTTCCCAGCAACCCTGTGAAGTTAGTATTATTTTTATCTTGATTTTGAAATCTTGGAAATTATGGTGAAGAGGGATTAGGGGGCTTTTCTGAGGTCACATGCATCTAGCATTGGCGTGGAGACTGTAAACTTTAGGGCGCTGGGCAGGAAAAGGGCTTTGTGGGAACATTTGGAATCTTGATTTAGAAACAGTGAGGTGAGAGCAGCCAGAAGGTGAAGAGGGAACACTGAGCTGCAGCCCTTCCCCTGGGTAGTCCTGCCCGGGGTGCACTGCTTCTTCATTTGTCTAACTGATCTCCTTTCGCCGCTCTCTACCCACTCCGGTATACTCCAGACATGGTGGGTCTACAGACTCTGAGCTTGCCATGCAAGAATCTCCATAATCTCATAGATTGTTACTACTTTCCACGGGTGCTCTAGTTTCATGGGCTAGAGTATCTGAAACAGTCCTGTTCCAATATTCTGGCTTGTGTTTTAGACCATGTGTCTTGATATCCCCAACTCTAAGCCAGCAGGGTCAACAGGCACAAAATTAGTGTCGGAGCTGGGTCATGACCCCTTATAGTTCTAGGGAATATTGCAGCCAGTAGGAACTCCAGAGTAAATGAAGGAAGGAAGGATTGAATGACTGGAGAAAAGATAAGCATGGCAGGTTAGAGGGAGATCACTGAGCACGGGCCAAACTCTATTTCACAGACCAAAGAGGATTTATCCCCTTTGATCTGTTAAATCAAAAAATATTTACTGTGCATCTCTCAGGATTGTGCTTGATGCAAAGAAGCATAAGAAATATAAGACCTGTCTTTTGAGATTTCATAGTTTAAGTAGAGAGAAAGGGCGCACCCAAGTCACTCTTAATATGAATGAGAATGAACCAAGGTGGGTGGAGGAATCTTTGAGCAGATGTGATACAATCTGTTCATTTCAAAGGTGAAGAAATTATGTCCCAGAAGTTTGGAATGCCTCATACAAGGTCACACCACTCAGTGGCAGAGCTGGGCCCAGAGCCCAGATCCTCAAAACCACAATCGAGTCTCCTTTCAGCACCCATCACTGCTGCACTGCCCCTCCCTCAGCCCCACGCGCCAAGCAGCACCCCCAGACTGCGTCACAGGTTACTATTTGCAGATGTTTTTGTTTAGAGATTTTTGTGCTGCCTTTATAATGGCACTAATAACATCACACTGTTATTCAGCATCTTACTCTGTGTGGTTCCACATAGCGAATTTCTATTAATCCAAGAACTCATCCATTCATAGTCACCAATGAATAACTCTAACACAAGGTTAATGCTATTGGAGTTAAATTTGACTGGAGCAATTAGGGAAGATTCCGTGATGGTGCTGAGTTGTGGGAGGTGAAAGAAATTTAGGCCTGAAGAGGCGATTGCGGCACTTGTGTGCAAAGGTGGCAGTTACCGCTGCACACACCTGGCTTCAGAATGCACTCAGCAGTTGTAAGCACCAAAATTGCTCCTGTCAAGGTATCCAGTGCCCTCCACTTTGCCAAGCCTGAGGTTAATTCTTAGGCCTGGCTTGACCTGACCAGTCAGCAGCGTTTGACACAGATGGTCACTGTCCTCATCTTTAAAACACAGTCTCCACTTAGCCCCCAGGACACATTCTTGTTTGGTTCTTCACCCACCTAGTTGACCGCTCCCTTAGTCTCTGTTGCCTTACTTCACCCTCATCTTCCTCCACTGGAGCCCCCAAGGCCAGCACTGCCCTCCTCTCCCCTGACCTCTCTACACTCACACTCTCTCCTCTCCACACTCACTCCTAAGATGACCTCATCCTGTCTCATGACTTCAAATGCCATCCGTATGCTGATTACCCTGACATGTAAAATCGTGTGCCTGTTTTGTTTCATTGAACTAAAGACATGTACACCCAGCTGTCAGCTAACTCGCGCTCCCCACGTGGGTGGCTCATAGGCATCGCACACTTAGCATGCATGAGATGAATTACTGGTTTCCTCAACCCTCAGTCTGCTCCTCCCTCAGCCTTTTCCTCTCTCCTTTCAATTCTTCAGGCCAAAACCTTGGGCTAATTCTAGACTCCTTTCTCTCTTAAATATTCCATATCCAGTCCATCAGAACCCAACCTCCTCTCACCCCTCTGTCATCTCTCACATGTGTGACTTTAGTATTCCTGCAGCTGATCTCACTACTCATCACACCCTTACCAGAAAGATCCTTTTAGAAACCCAGGACAGATCTGTCACTCCTCGGCTCTCACACTCCCATTGCTTTCCCTGAGTCCGAGCAGAGCCCAAGCCTGCATCATGCCTACAGTGCGCAGCATGATCTGAACCCACCGGGCCTCCCTGCCCTGCAAGCACACTGGCAGTCTTACTGTGTCTTGAACAGACCAAGGACACTCTTGCCTCAGGGGCTTTGTACGTATCATTTCCTTTGCCTCAAACAGTCTCCTGCCAGGTCTTTCAGGGCTCACTCCCTGTCAGAGATGACAGCTAACCAAAGTCTTGGCTCCTGCAAAGGGAGCCTTTACTCACACTCCTACCTAAAATAATAAACCCATCTCCGTTGACCCCTGCTTTATTTTCCTTCTGATCACTTACCACTTTCTGACTATCTCATTTATTTGGTGAGTAGGTGTCTGTTTTCTGCCACTAGACTGTCAGCTCCATGAAAGCAAGGACCTTGCTCACAAAGAGGAAGATGTACGTTATATCCAACCCCTAGAACTGAGTCTCAATAACAGTTGTTGAATAATTGAATGAGAGCCACCAACCAGTTCCAGGGAAGCTATTTCATCTCTCCGAGCCGTGGCCTTCTTATCAGTAAGATGAGAAAAGGACAGTATCTATGTGATGGGGTTATTGTCAGGTTTAGTTGAGATAATAAATGTGTAGCATAGTAGCTCTTGAGCAATGAATGGCTCAGTCAATGCCCATGATTATTATTTAACTATGATTTCCTGTTTTATGATTTATCATCATTGTTACCATTTTGCCATTGTTCTTCTAGTTGTTATAGTTATCATAATAAGGAATGCCCACCATCCTCAACAAACTTTTATTGAGCTTTTACAGTGAGTCAGGCATCTGGCTAGGTACTGGGGATTTGGCAATGAGTGAAACAGCACTTCCTCGTGGAGTTTACAATTTAGCATGTACAAAGCATGGCAAATAACCTAGCTTGGTGGATCCAAGACTGTGCAGAGGGGAACACTGCAGAGAAGCAGGAAGGAAGATTTCAGAACAAACCTTAGAGGACCCTGAATAGAGGTGTGAGATGACTTATTTTACTTACCAGGCCATTGATAGTCACCACAGGCTTTTGATCAGGGGAAGGAAATGCTGACAATTATATTTTAAGAGGATTCAAATGGCAGAAATATGTGTGGTAAGTCTCAGGGAGTTCAGGTCTAGAAACATGTAGACCAGTTTATTCTTGGTCTGTGTTTGCCACTGTCACTGATAGACCATTGTCACTTACCTATTCTAACTCTAAGAGCTCTTAGCTATAAACTAGGTACAAGAGCAGCAATCTTTTGGGGTCCTTTTGGCTTACTATACCACGCAAATGGTTTATTTCAACTATCCTGTGCAGAAGAAACGAGATTCTTATTCACACGAGGTGTACCGAGTATATACATGTTCCAAGGATGGGGCTAGTGGCCGAGGTGAGCTTGCGGCTATCTGTTCTAGGTGAAGAAATAGGCCCAGAGAGAGTAAGTGACATATTCAAATTCTCACTTGAGTGACTGGGTCAGAACTCAAATTCAGGACTCCTGACTGATCTTGGGTCAAGTGTTCCTTTCACTAAAACCCATTTTACCTGAATTCACAGAAAAGAAAAGTCGAGGGAGGACCAACGGCCTCCAGAACTTCTGTGGAAATGGGTGACATGGGTGTTGTCACATGCCGAGTGCTGCCTTCTGGGCCCCAGGGGACGGGCTGTCCTGTGGGAGAAGCAGGTGGTAGTAGCAGTCACCCCAAAGTGGTTGTCCAGAAAAATGAGTTTTGAGTTTCATTTTTCAGTTTTCGTTTGGCTTTTAAAGGAAGAGGGAACTGTGATGTGTTCAATTTAGGTCATCTTGTGTTATTAAATCAGAGCTCTTCAAGGGTGCAGACTATGACTACGGAATGTTCCTGACTCCCTGAACAAAACTGAATGTGCTGTGCACAATGAGGTGCTCAGCAAATGCTTCGGGGTTAACTGATGTTGCACACCAAGTTATATTCAAAATATCATCAATTCTCGCATAGGAAAACTTTAAAATTAGACTCATTCCACTTGTTGCAAAGTGGATATTCTCTTTCATCTATAAAATCCAAGTGTCCGCTGGTCTTACGCTATCCTATACTTTCCATTACAAAAAGAAGG